GCCTCCTGACAATGAGAAACAAGAAGGAATAGATAGCGGTCGGACAAGGAAGCGTCAGGCTCCGGTCACTGATGAAGCAACAACAAGTGCGCCAGACACGACAGAGCAAATGTCTTCATGTGGACCACGTGTCACCTTCTTTGGGGAGCGAGAGATGCGCTGCCTATGCCAGCATTCTCAGGAAAGTGCTCCTAAAACGTGCAAAGGAGGTAAAACCACAGGTTGCCCTGTGGCTAAAGGTGACCTACAAGAGTTCTAAGATAGCAAAATGGCTACCGCGCTAACGTTTCCCATGTGTGTAGCGACACTCAACGTACGTGGCTTGAGGAATGTAAGGCGTCAGTGGCAGTTGCGCCACGTGCTTGAGCAGTACAACATTGATGTACTTGCAGTGGAAGAGACTAAAATTTCCGCTGCTCGTGACGCCGATCTTGCGCTGGAAGTTTTCCGAGATTACAGTTTATACACCAGCCCAGCGCGTGGTTGATCCGCTGGACGCTTTTTATTAGTTATGAAGCACTTGCCCATATTTTGACGTCACTACATGCTGATGGGGAAAGACGCCTCATTTATTGCGACTTATCTTTTCATTCCCATAATTGGAGGTTTATCTGTGTCTATGCTTTCTCCAAAGAATTTTTTTCATCTCTGTAACTTTGCTGCTAAACACTGACAGAACTTTGATAGTTTTTGGAGACTTTAATTGTATTTATGACGCGAGAGATCATTCATATATAACAAATCGTTATGATGCAAGTGCAGCCTTACTGGAGAAACTATTGAATGACCACAATTTAATAGATGTGGTAGCGTATGCACCTTCCTCAGTGAGGTTCACGCACTTTCGAGGCATCTCATATGCTCGGCTTGACCATGTATATGTATCTCTAAGCTCATGGTCTCACATTCATAATTATGCTGTAAAGCCCACATTTTTACAGACTATTGCTTGGTCACTGTTTTTTGGGGTCCTGAAAATTTCCGTAAAACCCCTCTAAACTGCGACCTATGGAAGCCTAACGAACAGTTGTTGCGCGAAGATGGTTTTATTAAAATAGTAAAAGAATCGGTACAAGAAGTAACACAGTGTCCACAGCTGCCAACTTTCTCTCAATGGGAAAGGTTCAAAGAAAGAGTCAAGTATCAGGCAATTAGTATTTCATGCGAAATAGCGCAAAGAAAAAAAGCTGAAAAACGCCATCTTTATGATTTACTTCATAAGCTCCATAATTTTGAAAGTCAACAGCTGGGATTGTACAGGGACGAAATAAATCTGATTCGAGCACACATACAAAAACCTAAGAAGTGTAAACGATTACACATATGAAGTGCCACAACAGCGTGTCAGTGTATATGCGAATTCATTTTTTCCCAAAACAATTCGTCAGTGGAATGCTTTGCCATTACCACTGGTTCATTCTGATTCCCTGAAAAAGTTTGAGAAAGGGCTCAAAGATATTTTTCTGTAAGCATGGTTTACTATGTTAATTTATTGCAATTGTATGCTTACTACGACTGCACTATTTGCTAAATATTTGCTAAATTGTTGACAAATCGACTACAGACAGTGATTACTAAATATGTAGGTGACCGCCAAACATGTGGAATTCATGGGCGCTCTTACAGACAAACATTCATATTGCACGTTCAGTTCTTGAGTGTATTGATGTTAGCATGGACCAAGTAGCCCTCCTTCAAATAGACCATGCAAAAGCATTTGATAAGGTACAGCATGCTTATTTGTTCCGGTTCCTAAGACACCTGCAGTTGGGTGATGTACTATACAATGGTATCTCACTCTGTTATAAGAAGTGCACAACTAGGCTAATTGTAAATCGCACACTTTCCAATATAATAGAGTTAAATTCATCTGTACGTCAGGGATATCCGCTGTCACCTTTGCTTTTTGCAATTCATCTAGAACCATTAAGTTTAAGTGTGCTTCTAAAGTCTAGCATAAGAGGCTACCGACATGATGCTGAGGAAGTTAAAGTTCTAGCTTATGCAGATGACATTGCCTTCTTTTGCGCTGATAAACCCAGCGTTCAAGAAGCAGTCAACACTAATTTAAGTTTCTGTGAAGTCGCTGGCGCCAGCATAAATTTCGATAAAAGTAGTGGATTCTGGCTAGGCACATGGGCCCAAACTCCATCGGTCTTCACAAATATTCATTGGAATGCGACTCCTATGAAATACGTTGGTGTGCTTCTCGATAACTATCGTAACAGCGGCCCACACTGGACCGCTTCAATAACTACCATCCGCCGAAAGGTGGCAACATGGCACGGACGGGAGCTTTCCATTTTTGCCAGAGCAATAGCGTGCAATATATTCCTTGTATCGAAGCTTATTTATATTCTGCAGGTGTTGCATTGCTCTCGGATACACATTCAAGCCTTTCATCGGATATTTGCCTGCTTTATTTGGAGCTCTTCCTGGAAACCCATGAGAAGAGACAATCTTTTTCTTTCACTTGAAAAGGGTGGCCTCGGCCTTGTGCATTTGCTCTTGCGACAGTTGGTGTAGCGATTTTTTTTACTTCAAGGTTGTGTGCCACTCATTTCTATTAGCGGTTCTTCGTAACCGTCTATGTTACCACTTTCCTTTTATTCATGTCACAACAAGCGTTGCTAAGGAATTGCCGTTCCGGGGATTCCTAAAAGAAATTGCTGATACTGTCCGTTTTTTTTAAGGCCAGGTTTACCTTAGAGTATTTGTATACTATTGACACAACAAATTTAACCGCTGCACTTGTGAATTACCTTTTCTCCGAACCTGTTTATCGAAAGCCATATTCGCTTCTGCCTGGTCACGATGTATTATTTCGTGTACGTAGAATGTGTATATCTCCTTCGGTGAAAACATTTTTCTTGAAACTGCACACTTCCATGCTGCCAGTGAAAACGTAGCTGAAGGAAAAATCAATATACGTACACCGGACAGTGAATTGTGGACTCTACAACCAACCTGAGACTATAGAGCATTGTTTTATTCATTGTCGTGACGCTTTTTATTTTTGGGACATTCTAAAAAGAACGTTAAGAAAAGAACTTCTAATCACAGCTCATGGTATTTGGTTCTTTCCGTTCAAAAACAGTCTGACTGATAGTACTCCTTACGACATGTTTATGTTGTTGGGACTTTATTCATTATGGAAAAGTCGCATGATCGATAGACATGCCGAGCCACCACGGTCGACGAGATCTGTTTTTTGAGAAGCAGCTGCTCAAGTGCGCACTGTTGTCCAGACTTTTGACCCCGTTCCGGAGTGCCTTCCCATTCTTGACGCTTGTGTGTGTTTGCCTGACTTCTGATGAAGTATGTTCTGTGTAATTTACTGGTGATAATTTCATTCATTAAAGAAAAAAGGTGGGTAGCCTAGTGGTAAAGACACTCAATTTCACAGCATGAGAGCATGGGTTCAAATCCCACCGTCGGAAAGAAAAGAATTGTTATTTTGTTTATGCTGAAGACATTATTCGATCTGACTAACCACTCGTAGCGCTAAAAGCAGCACACTGGCAGCACACTAGTAGCAAGGCTCTACGGGAGTGTCCGCTTTTTATGTAAGTATGTTTCTCTATGTGTGAAGTATGTGCGGTAATGAGCTAGGAGCACAAATCAAAGATCAGATATAATAGACCTTGTAAGTACCACTTATGACTGGAAAAGAGACCGAGGCAAGTCCCGAAACTGGTCAAAATTGTGTCATGCATGAGTTTACTTTGGGTACGGGGTGCACTCGTTGTATACCAATACCTACTCATGTCTAAAGTTTAGACGAAAAGACAAGCTGGTCAACGCGTGTTTGCGACGTCTACTACGCAATAGCTTTCCAGGCATGCACAATCCTCGAGCTCTTTTAAAGATGTTAGTCTTTTTTGCGGACATTCAACACAAAAATTTTGGTCTGTCTGCCTGTATATCTGTTTGTCTGTACATTTGTCTGTTTGTCCACCCTTAACGGTACCCTGAACGGCACCAAAGTGACAAAACGACACTCCAAGTGGCTCCCCCATCCGCAGCACTCACGAATATTGCTCAAGATTTAGCATTCATACTTGTGTGATTGTGAAGTAAAAAGCAATTATTGTGCATTTCTGACGCACTATAACAACACGTCAATATTCTGTATGTGTGTCTTTTTACTTGAAAAGGCATACATAAGTAATTCTAAGGACCGTAGCGTTTATCACTCTGCGCTGACCATGCAACGCTTGCACGAAAAAACAAGTGTTTCCACCGCTTTGCTAAGACGACACGGTGGTAGATCCTACCCGTCGCTTTGCGTTCTACACCTTATCACCTCAGAGACAGGCACGCACGCCGCAGGCTTCGTTTTTCAGGATAACTACCTGATAGCCCTCAAGTCTCACGTGTGACGTGACTTGATGCACACGTTTGCCTCCGCTACAAGCTCGAAGCATTCTAACGCAGTGCCTCCAGAATACAATTCACCGATCTACTTGCGCAGAATATTAAATAAACGTTTTGTTCACTCTCTCCAGACGCAAGACTATTGTCTTACGACGACATTTGCAGTGTAACATGCAGATACGTGGCCAAGTTTTTAGGACACACTTACTTTTGCGATATATTTCGTCGTGTTGTGCAATGAATCTGACATATACTAGGAAGACGTAAGCTTGTAAGCCGTTATCAGAGCGGCAGCTCAGCTTGTATCGTTCTCGAGGCACCGCGCGCCCACTGGCTGTTCTGTTTGCGGGCGCCGCGAGTTGCGAGTGATCGTGCGAGTGTATTAAGTCGTACCCCAAATCCATACACTCCAAGATATTATTTGAGATCTTCGGCAAACTTAGCCATATATTTCCAAACGGGAAATGCAGAAAACAACCAACGCGAACGCGGCGCAGTGTTTTGCTTGCTGTCACGACAGTAGCGTGTTGACGTTTACGCTGGAATGAATGAATGAAACCATGTTTATTCCACTTTGTTCGCGCCGAAGGCGCTGCGGTGGACAGTCAGGGCACTATAGCAGGGGGGGGGGGGGGTAGAGCTGCCTCCGTTTTATTACCGGACGTCATGGAGGCAGCTAAGTGGGGGCCGCTTGAATGGCTTGAATCTTGTGGCTGTCGCGGAGCCGGTCGCCAACCGTGGCGCGGCCGGGTCCTGGAGGAACATGATGAGTGCTCGCCAGAACTCGATGGCGCGATCAGGGGGCGAAGGCTCCGGGCAGGCCCATGTCCGGAGAGAAGAAGGCCAGGGTCCCCGTTTTATGGTGGCCAGGGCACGGAGCCTAGGCGGGTTGTACACAGGGCACTCCCAGCACAAGTGGTTGAGATCAGCCCGGCAGTTGCACGTGGAGCAGAGACCTGTCACGGGTGGTGGCGTGTCACCCCTGTGGAAACGGTTCAGCAAGAAAGGGGTAAGGAGTGTTCCTGCCTGAATTCTCCGAAGCAGGACAGACTCTCTCCGTGTGAATACCTTCGAAGGAAGCAATGGTATCGAGAGTGGATTACCCACTGCTGTGAGGTAGGCGGCGCGACGTTGTTTGGTAATGTGCTTATCTGCTATCGGATCTGCTAGCTCGGGTGGGGTAGCCAGAAAAGTGGAAGGAGTATCGGAAGCTCTGGCTAGCGCGGTGAGGAGATGAGCGCGCGCTAATCTGTGAGCCTTCTCGTTTCCGGGGATACCGCAATGCCCGGGGACCCAGTGGATGGTAACGTCATGACCACATTCGCGGAGCAGGCGCGTCTGGTGTCGGATCTTCTGGAGTACAGGATCTGTGTAAAGAACATTAGCGCATGCCCGATGGGCGTTTACGCTGGCTTGTCCCATGCAGCGTTCGATTTTGCAATCTTCGGGCCCCTGCGGGTTTTCTCGAGTTTCCCACACACGTGACTACGGCGCTGTTTCCTGTCCCAATCGGAACTAGATGGCTGACCTTCTGGCTTGCTCTGGCTGCGGCATAGCTGCTAGAGGTCTGAAAATTGAAGTTCAGGGAGTCAGTGTGATTGTCGCGCTATTTGTTCCCAACTCATCACGCGCCTCCCACAGGCGTGGTCGTGGGCATTTGTCCGTTTTCGGAGAGGTTCTTTGGTTCCACCTGCAGCATGGAAATTTCCGCACTCGTAGGAAGCTAGAATGCACACGCAGCACTCTTGTGCTGCTCGTTTCGTTTCTGTGAAATATTACAGATAAATAGAAAGAACAGATGGTTACAAGGGGCTCTCGCGTCATGGCAGCAATGCGGCAGCGATTGGGTATGACCTGAGCGCGGTGAAAGTGAATGCGAGGCATCGTAGCCGCATGGTTATACCACATTTACTTATACATGCACGTGTGCATAGTATGCGCAATAAAGCTGATAAATTATTCGTGCCGATTCTCGCAGATCGCGGGATCGAATCCCGGCTGCGGCTGCTGCATTTTCGATGGAGGCAAAAATGCTTTAGGCCCGTGTGCTCAGATTTGGTCGCACGTTTATTTATTTATTTATTTATTTATTTATTTATTTATTTATTGTACCCTCAGGGCCCGAGGGCATTACAGAGGGGAGTGGAGATCTACATAACGGAAGCAATGTAAAACAGCAAGGAAAAAACTCACAGCAGATAAGTAAGTGAAATAAAGTAGGCATCAATGACAACAATTTCATAAGTAAAAACGTATACTAACAATAGTAACCTTATATATACACACATATGTACTACACATATACAAACACATATATATATATATATATATATATATATATATATATATATATATATATATATATATATATATATATACAAACATTTACAGAAGAATATTAGTTTTACGAAACATATTTTGATCAGTTATATAAGCAATATCATAAGGAAGATCATTCCAACTGACACAAGTTCTGGGTATGAATGAGTCATGAAAACATTTGGTGTGACATGATGGAACTCCAACTTTATTGCGGGGATCAATTAGAGCTGATATGTATGATGGCCTTGTTAATAATTTCTGTTTCAGATAGCTGTTGTAATAAATTTTGTGAAAAAGACATAATGAAGCTACTGACCTGCGATGAGAAAGAGCAGGGAGGGACGAACTTAATTTCATGGCGGTTACGCTGCTTGTTCGGTGATAGTTGGAGAGTATAAAACGGCAGGCACGGTTCTGCACAGCTTCTAAATCGGAAATGAAAGATTAAATGCCAGGGCTCTATACACATGCCGGGAATTATATAATGAATATGAGTTTTCCAAGACAGGTTAGAAAAAATGTGAACACCTAGGTAATATAAGAGAGTACAGTTTCAAGAAAGACATTGTTAAGGTGGTAAGTGGAAGCTGGGCTAGAATTTCGAGAAATATGCATGTGCTTACACTTATTAATGTTTAGTTTCATGTTCCAAGTGTTGCACCGGTCCATAACCTTGTTAATGTCGTATTGATTGCAAGAGACATAGTTATTGTTGTTAATTTCGCGATAAATAACACAATCATCTGCAAAAAGATTAATTGAAGAAGAAATATTAGTCGGTAAGTCATTTATATAGATTAGAAACAGAAGAGGCCCGAGAACGGACCCCTGAGGTACACCAGAACGGACAGTTAAAGGATGTGAGTCAAAGTTGTTTGCTGTTACGATTTGGGAGCAGTTTGAAAGAAAACAGATCAACCATGCAAGTACATTAGGGTCAATGTTAAGATTCCGTAGTTTAAGAAATAGAAGTTCATGCAAGACTTTGTCAAAGGCTTTCGAAAAATCCAAATATATACAGTCTGCCTGAGATCTGTGATCGAGGATGCAATGAAGTTCATGCGTGAAACATATGAGTTGGGTTTTGCATGAAAATGACTTACGGAATCCGTGCTGGGCTTTAGTGAAAAAAGAATTCTAATTAGTGAAAAAAGAAAGAGATGAGATGAGAGTATATGACGTGCTCCATGATTTTTCAAGGTGTACTAGTGAGAGAAATGGGACGAAAGTTTGTCATGTGTATTTCCAGACATGTGCAGAGGAATCACCTTCCCAACTTTCCGATCATTGGGAATACAACCTGTTTCAAGGGATTGTTCAAACAGTTTATTAAAAATAATGGAACAATACAACTTTGTATTAATCAAGAATTTGGAATTAATGTTGTCAATGCCACAAGAAGAAGAAATTTTAAGATTTTCTATTATCTTCTGAATGCCAGATACGTCAAATATAACTAGGTTCATAGGAGGAACTTCAAAAACAGGGTAGTTAAAATTATCGCAAGAAACATCATTAGAAAAAGCCGCCGCAAAAACATTGTTGAGAACAGAAGCACATTCGTGTGACGGGACTTCAACACCATCAGTAGATGTAAGTAACAATGTGGTGGTGTGTTTCTTGTTTATTACATTCCAAAATTGTTTAGGATTGTTAATAAGCATAGCAGGCAAAGCGTGGTTGTTGAACGTGTCCTTGGCGCTCTTTAATGCAGCTTTGTACTGAGCAGCCCCGAAAAAATAGGATTCCCATCGCACCTCGGAATTCATAACCTTTGCAGAGCGAAACAAACGTTTCTTTTTATTGGACAGTCTTTTCAAATACTTATTCAACCAAGGTTATTCCCTCTCACACCTCAAAGATTTAAGTGGCACAAAAGCGTCAATAAGACGCTCAACAATGCCCTTAAACAATTCCCAATTAGTGTCCACAGAGCGCAGTGAAAACACCTGCAAGTAATCATCAAGAAAAAGAGCTAGCTCACGATTCATCGCGTTGTAGTCAGCACATTTATAGTTTCTAATATATTTTTTCTGATTGATGTGTGTACATACAGGAGTTTCAAGATCAAAATGGAGCAACGAATGATCACTGAGACCAGGTAGATACACGAGTGAAGATATAAGATGCGGTACGTTAGTTAGAACGAGATCTTAAATGCTGGATGTGGCTGAGGTAGTTCGAGTAGGTTTAGAGACAAGTTGTGACAGGTTGAAGTCCAGAGAAGTCATCAAAAACTTGTTACACTCAATCGAGAAAGGGCTAGGATAAGGCGATGCATTATTCAACACAATCGAGGGGTAGTTTAAATCCCCAGCCAAGAGGATAGGAATGTTGGTAAAACGTACAGTGATCATGTTAAGCGCATCATGCAATTCATCAACGAAAGTGGGACACGAAAACAGGGGACGGTAACATATGCCCAAGATCAACTTCTTAAAACGTACGCAAAAGGTCAACCCAGACTAGTTCCAGGTTACTTGGGGAATTGATGGGCAACGCAACAAAATTATCTGCAAGAGCTATTAAAACACCACCGCCACACCTTTGGCCTCTATCGAAGCGGAATACGTTGAACTTCTTTTTGCAATCAAACAATTCCATACTCGTTACCTTAGAAGAAAGCCATGTTTCAGTCAACAAAACAACGTCAGCATCACAGGAATCGATTATAGAGTAAAGTTCATCGCGCTTTGGTAATAAACTTCTAATATTTGTAAAAAAGAAAAGAGACAGAATTTGCGGTAGTAGGCGCTGAACCTCTGCCCCTCGCGCAACCCTACGTTAAAGAACTCCAGGTGGTCCAAATTTCCGGAGTCCTCCACTACGGCGTCTCTCATAGTCATATGGTCGTTTTGGGACGTTAAACCCCACAAATCAATTATTCGTACCGATCGACGTGAGTACTGCTTCCCGGCAAGAGCAAACGTGGTGGGTGTACCCGATCTTCGCTGCAGGCGTCTGTCAATCAAATTGATTGACGCGTGAACTCGGAACAAACTTGTTGATTCTGAGAAGGCCCGAGTACAACTCGTGACTGTGATGGCACCGTGTTGACTTTTAAGCGTTTCTTGCGGTGAACGCCACATGGCAGCTTCTTTGCATATAAAAATATTTGGTGACCTCACACTACTTGAGCAAGGCTGGAGCCATAGAGGAGCTTGTCATAACCTACCATCTTGCCTGTTTTGAAAGTTCGCTGTCTACTCATGTGCGTGGTCGGCTTCGAGGTTAAGACTACATGAGCTCTGTCTTAATACTCATTGTACTAATTTAATGAGCCTCAACGACGAATACACTGAGCTGTCTTGTCTTGATTGATAGGGCTTCAATTAAACGACGATTATCTCGAATGTAATTAGCAAGGACCTGATCAGTATGGAGATATAAATGTAATCCTTATTATCAGGATATTTATTGTCAATATATTCGTAAGAAATAATTAGCCCTGTTTTACTTAGCCTGCTCATATTCAATGTTCTCGTAATTAGCCTAATTTAGATACCTCATCAACTGACATGCTTTAGTTAGCTTGGTTCTGGCTTTTTATGGCCTCATTACCACGCTCAACAAAAGATGTGACGTAACTGCCTCAGTCTTATCATGACTTTGCGTAATTAGCTTGGTCATAGCATGTGCTGGCCTAACTAGCCAACTATACCGCCCAGCAAAAAATCACAGCATGTCCGCGGAGTGAATAATGATGAGTGGGGCGAAGCTTCCGAGGATCTTATTTGTAAACCGTGAATCATCAATCCATCTGTCTGTCTCTTTGTCTGTCTGTCTGTCTGTCTGTCTGTCTGTCTGTCTGTCTGTCTGTCTGTCTGTCTGTCTGGCTGGCTGGCTGTCTGTCTGTCTGTCTGTCTGTCTGTCTGTCTATGTCTGTCTTTCTGCCTGTTTGTCCGCCAATCCTTCCGTCTGTCCACCTGTCCGTCCGCCCATCCATCTGTCTGCCTGGCTGTCTGTCTGTCCGTATGTCCGTCGATTCATCCGTCTGTCCATTCCCACTTGCTGAGTGTGTCATCAAACTAGGCGGTCACGTACCACGAGCTAGGCAAGACAGACCAATGGCTTTAGGAGTTTCGCCCCTAATAGCTAAT